TATACTTCTGTGTGTCTGAACTTTATACTTTATGAGTGTGTATCAATTTTCGACCACATTTCATAAGTCTAAGATGCCATCAATTGAAAGAGACCATCATTTTATTCGCTCCCATGAAGGCAAACTGCTACCTATTAAACTACGTCACACATTAGTAAGGCCCGTCTTACTAATTGAAATGTTTTTGAGATGTTAAAATATGAAAGAAATGTGCATCTGAGAATTAGTGGAATGCACATGAAAAGAAATTTTCCATCTTTGGAAAAAAATTTGCTTTTATCTCCCACCCTCCTGTTCAGAGTGATTTCCTAAAAAAAAAAATGCCGAGGGAGTGTTTGAGGATGACTTCATCTTACTATTTTTAGCATTTAGATGCCAGTTTATTCCAGGCCCTGGGTTAGGTGTGTTCTTGTGTCTGAGTCCCTCAAGGCCTCCTGGGAACTAGTGGGAAAGGTGGTCATTTTCCAAATAAGGGGCCTGATGGTCAGATTCTTCTTCCTGCTCACACAGCGAGTAAATGAGAGAGATGAGATGCAAACCTGCCCGCTGCCCCACCGCATCCCATCACAGGCCTGAGCTCGGAGGGGGTCCTGAGAGGGGGCACCAGTCAGCACCTGAAGCCCCAGGATCAAGGAGAAAGTGCCCTGCTCCCAGGCCCACCTGTGCACCCCCTTGTTTCTGGTTCTGGGGAGCTGACTTCCTCCTTGCACACTCTTCTCTGCCAATCAGAGTGAGTCAACCTCACAATGACCTCACTGTCCTCAGTGGGCTGTTTGGCCGTCTCCTGCTGTCACTGAGCCCCGGCCCCAGCACCTCTGCACAGGCTCAGTGTTCCCCGCCCCACTCCTCAGACGTGGCGGCTGACCTGTCGTCCGGCTGCTAAGAACGGAACGACCACGGCTGAGAGGGCTGTTTTCCTCCCGCCACCGTCTCAGTGGACTGCCATCCATGGGCGCTGGGGGCTTGGCCTGATTGTCCCAGTGCCTGGCACAGAGGCACGGACAGCGACAGTGGACGGAGTGAGCTGAAGTAACAGCTCGGGCCCAGGCTACGGCAAAGGATAATTTTCAAAAGGATACGTACACAAGTATATAGTGGCCACATGTCAACGTTTATGTAAGTCATCAATGAGGGAACCAGCAAAATGACAAAGCTAGATGAGGAGATTTGAGGGGGGAAATGTTTGCCTGGGCTGCCACAACAGATTACCCCCAACTGGGTAACTCCTCAGCAACAGAAATGTATTCTCTCACGTGTCATAAAACCAAACGTTCAAAATCGAGGTGTAGGCAGGGTTGGCTCCTCCCGGAGGCTCCGAGGGAGACTCGGTCCGCCCCTCTCCTTGACGTTCCTCGGCTTGTAGACACAGCACTCCAGCCTCCGCCTCTGTAATCACGTGGCCTTCTTCCCCATGTGTGTATCTGTAGTTTCCAAATCGTCCTCTCCTTATAAGGACAGCAGTCTTCGGATTTAGAGCCATCCTAATCCAGTATGACCTCATTTTAACTTGATTACATTAGCAAGAGCCTACTTTCCAAATAAGGTCACAGTCACAGGTGGGGTGTGTGTGTGTGTGTGTGTGTGTGTGTGTGTGACGACTTGAACATCTTTTGGGTGACACAGTTCAACTTGTAACAATTACCAAATTCATGTCTCATTACTCAGCATCACAGACCCCGGCTTCACAGGGCCGCGGTGCCTGGGGTGTCAACCCTGATGGGTCTCTGGTGTCTTAGGGTTGAGCGCTGGCCTATTGACAAGGCTCAGGGGAAGACAGGGCATCTCCATGGCAGAAGTCAGCACTGCACGGGGCACAAATGGAGCCAAACTTCCAGGGCTCAGCTCCAGCTCCACGCCCCACTGTCTGTGACTCCTTGCTTTTCTTCGCCTCTCTGGGCCTCAGTTTCCCCATCTGTGAAATACGGGCCACAGTGGTACACGCTCCATAGGACAGCACTCAGAATGGCACATGTGAAGCTCTGAATATGTGTGCACTGTTATTGGCCTAGTCACGCCCACTCACAGGTTCACGGCTTTGCTCCTTTTGGGTGAGAAAGGCTGTCCTACTGGAAGTACCGGAAAGTTCCCCCTCCCCCTGGGCCTGGTCATGGCAGAAAAAAGAAGTTTATAGTCCGCCTCAGTCTCCAGAAAACACAGCGAGTTCCTGGTTAGGACGGAGTTGGCCTCTGCCCAGGCGGATTGTAGGCCGGTGCGTTTGCTTTCAAACCTGCCCTGCTCTGGTGACGAGCTCTCTTTTGGCTGCTGGCGCTGCGTCCAGCTTGGAAGGTGATTTCCCGTCGTTTACTGTCTGTGCAGCTGGCAGTTTCCTTTCGGACACTCATGACCCGTGGAGAGCTATCAGGGCCCAGAGGCAGAAGCTGGGAGTAGAGCCTTTCCAGCCAGAACCAGGACCGGCTGGCCCGAGAGGGCAGCCTCCCGGGGGCCAGCAGGTGGGGTAGAGGCCTAGGCAGACGCCAGGCCTGGCCTTCGCCATCCAAGCTGGCAGGACAAGGCCTGTCTGCACCTCGTGAGCTCCTCACACACTGGCCCTGGGGAAGCCAGGACCTCCTGCATCCAGACCTGTCCTCCTGGGGGTGGGGGGGTGGAGGGTGGCGGCGCGGCGTGGCCAGGCCGGGCCCTGAGCAGCACCACCGCTGCTGCCACTGTCATTAGCGTCTGGGATGCAGGCCTGGGTTGGAAAGACTGAGCCGCACCCCAGGCCTCTCTGACCCTGAGTTGAAGCAGGAGGGGCCGGGCCCCGCACTCTAGGCCCTTCACGGAGACATCTTTTTTGCCCTCAGTCGTCTTCCCCTTTCCAGGCGTGAGGACAGCAGCGTTCTTCTTGTTTTTTTGGAGATTCCTAGAAAAGACAAAATTACAGAGACAGAATGTCTTCCCCTTTCCAGGCCTGAGGACAGCAGCGTTCTTCTTGTGTTTTTTTTTTACTTTTTTTTTTAAGAAGGTGGAGATTCCTAGAAAAGACAAAATTACAGAGACAGAAAGCAGACCTGTGGTTGCCTGGGGCTGGGGTGGGGTTGACTGCAGATGGGCAAACAGCGTGATGGAAGCGTTTGAAAACGGTTTGTGTCGGTGGTTGAGCTGCTGTGGACATTCACGCATCAGACAGTGTGCCTGCTGTGGTGAGTTGTATGGCATGTAAGTGCCTCTTCGGGAAAGCTGTGTAAAGGCGTACATCTAAAAGGGAACCCTCTTAAAACCACCGTTGGTGAGGGGTTACCATCTGCTAGGAACTTGATAGAAAGTGTTCAGTCAATGGTTGTGAACTTGAAGAAGAGTGGAGGGGGCGCCGAATTGGAAGCCTTTATGTGGCCTGGGCAGGTCCAAACTCTGTCTAGGTCTGTTTCCCGAGTTGATGCCCTGGAGGGGTGAGAGGTGCCGGCCCCTGCAGGGGCTGTCCTGCCCAGCCCCCTGTGCTGCAGACATCCCAGGCGCCCGAGTTGATGCCCTCGTGATGCCCTTGGAGGAGTGAGAGGTGCGGGGACGGCCCCTGCAGGGGCTGTCCTGCCCAGCCCTCTGTGCTGCAGACCCTCGGGCTGTCCCAGGCCCCGCTGTGCCTTTGCCTTTGCCACAGAGCACCTCTGCCTTCCTGCCTTTGTGCAGAGCATTTCCTCCCCCCAGCCCCTGGAGCAAACACTCAGCCGGGAACAATTGGAAAATCCGGATTGGCCTGGCCTCGTTTCCCCCCACCGCTGGCTCCTTCCCTCGACCGGGACCAGAGAAGCAACCAGGAGACTGCCCCGGAGAAAACCCCTCAGACCAAGGGGCCCACGCACCTCCTGGGCTTTCCTCTCCCCTCGCAGCCCTGACGGTGACCTCAGCCAGTTTACAAAGAAGATCAGAGATAAAGAGACACTTGTCCACAGAGATGATCAGTGCCTGGGCCAGGCTCCTTGCTCAGGGAGAAGCTGGGTGAATTGGTCGTTGGCTTGTTTGGGAATCACTTGCCTTCCTCTCCTTCTGCCTCTCTCATTGTTGTCAGATGCCAAAATGCCACCGTTCAAATGCCACCTCCTCCAGGAAGCCTTCCCTCAAACCTCCTCCCATTCACCCAGAACGTTCCTAGGGTCAGGCAGCAGGAACCCAGAAGTGTGAGAAGTGCTTTTGCAGGAACTGAGTACCTCCGTGTGAGGATGGCAGGAAGGAGCCCTGAGAGTCAGAAGAAAACCTGGCCTCTCCTCTAGGGCCGTGGGGAGCTACAGCAGGTTCTGGGCAGGGTGGGACCAGCAGATGTGGCAAAAGAGGGTGGTTCCAGCTGCTGGGTGGAGGAGGGTCAGACCAGAGTGGGACTGGTGGGAGGCTGAGGCCACTGAGGAAGCCGAGCCAGCTCCCCGGGAGAGTACTCCAGCAGGAGGGCGTGGCCTGCCCCTCCCATCACCTTTCCCTTCCTACCTCGCACTGTTCCTGTCCCCAGCCCCCTCCCTGGGCCCACAGAGCCCTGGCTGATAAACTCCAGGAAGCACTCCACTGCTTGGCGGCTGCTCCTCCCAGAGAGGCTGTAGCAGGTTTCTTCTGGAGATGATGCCCGAGGGCTGAGTGGTGGACCTGCTGGCCAGGAGGACTGCAGAGAGTGGGAGGAGTGGAGGGCTGGGAGCCGGAGCCCTCGCTGGAGCCGGCCCAAGGCCGGGGCTCGTGGTGAACCAGCCTGTCACTCCTGGCTGACTCAGACCCTCCTGCCCCTCTTATCAGGCCTGCGGGGTGATAAGGGCCCAGTTCCTGCACTGGATTCTAGGCCTTTGTTTGGGGAGCCAGGAAGTGACTTGTGGGTTTTGCTGTGCCTTAAGGAGTGGGGCTGACTCACGGGGGTGGGGGCCTGGGTGTGCCAGGGGTGGGGAGAGCCTGGGGAGGGAGGTCCCCAGTGGGAGTGTGTCTGACCTCCACACCCACCTCCTCCGCAGCCACGGAGAGGAATCCTTGCCTCTGCCTCCAGGATTAGGACGGGATGGGTGGCCCAGGGCGTCTCCTCTTTATTTTTCAAACAGAAAATATTTCCAGAATATTATTCCCCGAAAGTGTTGACTGTCTGCTAAGCACCAGACACGAAACGAAGGGTTTTGCTGGCACTGTCTCCTGTAATCTTCACCCCAATAACAACCCTGGGGGGCGGATATCACTGTCCACACCTTACAGACGAGGAAACAGGCTCAGAGAATGGATGTGCATTGCTCAGATTTGCTCATCCAGGAAGCAACAGATCCAGGATTCAAGCCCAGTCCAAACTCATAGAAAACTCCCTTGAAAACCCCCATAGAGATGATAGACAGGGCAGGGATGGGCCTCAGGAGGTTTGGGACGCCCTGGGGACTACCCATCGCTCCATCAGGTCCTCAAGGGCCCCGCCAGACCACCGCCCCAGGGGACCCCGCCAGACCACCGCCCCAGGGGATCCTGCCACGGTGGACAGTGGACCCGTGATGCTTTCCCAGCTGTTACTCCCTCCTCCCTGTGAGGAGCCGAGTGGCTGGGCCAGGTGTTCTCCGTGGGCCAGACAGCGGGTGAGTAACTTGAGTTCATCAATGACCAGTTGGGTGGCTCCTCGTCTAGGCTCTCGGAAGGGGGAGGAGGTGTGGTGCCTGAGAATGAGATAAAAGAACAGGAAATTCCCAACCGAGCGGCAGAATCAGGCCCCCATTAATCAAGACGGAAAAGCCATTCCTAAAAAGGGAAGGATCTGATTCATCTATTTGTCGTCAGGACTCTGTCCTCTCCGCATTTATCAGTCAGGCCTGACGTTGCTCTCTGCACGCCTGCGCGCCGGGTACCCCTGGCTCACGTCCGGCCAGCTCGCTGGTCCCAGGGGAGAGAGAGTCTCTGGCAGAAAAGTCCCAGAGAAAATTCTGATCAGCGTCTCTTGAGTCACATGCTTCCCTGTTTGAACAAATCTCCATAGCCTGGGGCGGGGTTTTGGGATTGCCCTTGCCTTGCCTGGCATGCCCTTCCTTGCACTGGATCTCATTGTGGGGCCGGGACAGCAGAGCAGCAGAACCAAGCCAAATGGGTGGGTGGTGTGTGTGGTG